GCCTGCTCATGCCTTGCCTCAATCTTCCAACAGGTTGAGAAAATAAACCTATCATTATTATCATTAGCTGGAACACGAGACGTTTCCGTACAAAATATACTATTCCTTTAACTACGGCAAACCCTACTAAATATATGGTCCAAAGGCTGATTGTTAAAGTCAGAAAAACAATTCACAAACGTGGACACCTACCCTAGAATTTCAAAAAGAGGGCGGCGGCGAAGTAACACAAAAGAAACATCGTACATCGTCCGACAGGTTAGTGCACCTCTGCAACGCCAAAACAGAAAATCCGTCTTCTCAAACGCGCTTTCTAGAACTCTCCTGGATATTTATTGACGATTAGTTACATGCAAACAAATGCCACAAAGCAACTCCACAAATTCCGTAATAAATCTCACCTTTAAATAGACATAATGTGGAAGATATTTGGAATCGATTGAGTAGTCATCGCTTTCGAAAACGTTTGGTGGCAATAAATCTACTGATTGTTACCAAACATTTTCAGATGCGTAGGATGAATTTACGGGAAAACATACTACTCGCATGCCTCATCAGTAATATCCACCGTTACACACCTTCCCCCTCCAAAGGTCGTTCGCATGCCACCGATTTTTATCTACCTCCGTTAGCCCGGCTCCAGCAGCTGGTCTATTCGGTCGCTTTTCGCGTGTATCTTGCCACTTGATAAGCTGCATCCCACTTACTACTTCCGTTCCCTGGCGGTCGGTAACGGCAAACGGACCCTGCCATCGAATACCCACCTTCGGTGACCCCAGTTTACTCCTCCAATGTTCTGATGATCACTCCACTAGACCTTCCCGCGTGTGGGGAACGTTCGTACCTTTTTGCTTGCCGTATACTGCTTAATTCTTTCCTGACGGCGGTCAAGTTTTCTCGAGCTACCCTTCTTTCCTCCTCTATCTCCTCCAAAGACGAGCGTGTTGCCAGCCACAACCCGATTTTCTGGTCGACCGCACATCGGCATAAGTGAGGACCTGCCCATGGTCGGCTTTATGGAAGCACGGTGATCTAGCAACATCATCGGCAAGTGGAATTTGCAGTCAATTCCTTTAGCCACCAGCCACTTGATCGTTCGATCATCACTTTCGTTTGGGCCATTTTTTGCGGGTGGTATGGTGTTGTCCATAACCGTCCGATAACCAGCCTCTGCAAGCCATTCCTAAACTCTTCGCTGTCGAAGTAGGGTCTCTGATCGGTTGGGATCATTTTTGGCACCCAATGGTTGACCACGATGCGACACATCATCACCTCGCTGATCGTCGCCACACGTTGATCAGGCACGGCTGCCGCCTCGACTTATCGCGACAGGCGTCCTGTAATTATCACAATATACTGAGTTCCGCTGGCTGTCAACGGAAAGGGGCCCATGACGTCAACAGACGATAACTTACCGATTTCTGGGGCAGGAATGTGTTCCATGGGATGGGCTGCCGCTGTCATATCTCCTTCCATCAGTTGGCACCACTTACAAGGCACCACATGATCCATCACCTCACTTATCATCCCGGGCGAGTTGGCTCTCTGCCTAAGTAAGTCGCACGTCTTGGCGCGCCTCATGGCAGTTGACGACAAGCTTCGGTCTCAAGGTGTGAGATATCATGGGCAGCACAACATCAGAATCGTTGGCGTTCCAGGAAATTATGCCAGCTTCATTCATACTCAGCCGATCAAGGTGACTTTGGAACGTTAGCAATTTCTTGTCTCCCTCCTCGTTCTCAATGCTTCTTCCATCCAACAAGGATCCTGTGGCGAGATCCAGTTCGACGACGAGGCTATTGGCCCCACTCATGATCCTGGAGACTTCCTCTACAGCCTCTGGTCTTGACAGTCAATCAGCCAAGCGGTTCCCCTTCCGCAACATGTGCTGGATTGTGAAGTCGTACACTTGCAGCGAGAGTGCCCAGCGCGCGAGCTTTCTACGAGGATCTCTGGCGGTCGGTTTCCACATGAAATTTTCGTCCAAGCAGGTCCGGTCTCTATTTATCCAGAGCCCAGACGATCGTTTAAATATTTTTCCACAATGGTCGATTGCTTCTGTTCAGCGTTAGTCAGGATACGATTGGCGTATTCGATAACTCCATTATTCTGTTTTAGGACTGCGCCGATACAGCGATCACTAGCGTCCGCTGCAACAGTGAAGACCCCTCTGCTCCTGAGCAGTTTGAGGGTTAGTTGCTGATCCAACATCCGCGTTTAGATACGCCCGAAAGCTTGAAATGCTTCCGTGGTCCATTCGAATTTCCGATTTTGCCCGAGCAAGTCGTACAGTGTTGCACCGACCGTGTTGAACTACTTGACAAACCGGCTGTGGTATGCTGCCCGTCCAAGAAACTACATAGAGACTGCTCTGATTTGAGAACAACACAGTCCTCAGTCTTCGCCAATCTTTTCCGGCAACGGCCTAAACTCTAATTGACCTGCTTTATGTCCCAGTAGTGTCATAGAACTCCAAGCGAGCTCCGCCCTGACTTCATTTATCTGCAGGCAGCGTCCCGGATTCGCCACAATGTTGCCTTCAAATGAACTGCAAGTGCTGGTTCTAAATTGCTGTAACTAACGACATCCTCTCCGTACAAGGCAGTTTTCTCGAGGCCCTTTGTTGAACGAGGCATCGTGCGCGGGAATGCGAATGGAGCGCCAGACAAACCAAACGGCATTAGTCTAAATTGACACTGAGTATCCTCATTCATGAACACCGTTTTCTTCCGGTCCCCCACCTTGACGAATAGTTGTCAGCATTCAGAACGCAGGTCAAACACCACAAAATATCGGGAATGCCTGAGGAAATAGAAAATCTCCGCAACCGAAGGCACAACTACAACCCGATTTACTGTCGGTTCAAGCAAGCGCCAGAAATCGACGCAAAATCTGTATTTTCCGTTCACCCTCCTTACAGGCACAACACAGAGTTGTACGTATTGTTGGCTTTCTCGATTGTCATTTTTCAACACCTTGTGAATTTGTATATGGACTTCCTCCCGTAGATGGAGCTGCAGCGAACGGCGGCCGTAAGGACGAAAGTGCCCAGAAGATGGTTGAATTTAGTGTTCAGTCCAAGGGCAGAAGCCAAAAGGATCTTCATCGCCCGTGAACAGTTCGGCACATTTCTCGACTACGGGCTGTATTGACGGCAAGCTATACGACGGAAGATTTCGGACATGCAGCTCACTCACGGCAGTGCTTGGGTTACCCGCAACTTGACTGTGCTATATCATGTCACCAGTTTTTCCTGCTTTAGGTCAACCACGGAATTCGTTCTCTTAAGAAAATCTGCCCGCAATTTTGTCTTCTGTATGTCTGGGCTGATCAGGAACGCGTGCTGCACGGACTCTTCCCCTAGGCGTATTGAGTGAATTGACAATCCGCCAATTTTCAGTCGGTATCCACGGCAGGCGCGCACCATCTGCTTTCAGCTTGATTCCCTATCCGCTTCAGCAATACCCCTGCTATTGTATCAGTCAATCACGGTTCCTCTCCGCGTAAATCTTGATAACGACCTGTACGGTAGCCTGTGTCATTGCGCCAATCGCAACCCACCCGGGAAAAGAGGAGTAATCCAAAGTTTTATTATGTGCAGGTGGTAGGGTAAGAGGGCACCGATTCTTCCATAGGTAAGGTATGCCACGCTTGCAGCATCCGCTCGTTCGAGCTCGCCTTCGGGGTTCTGTCGCGACGGCTGCCAGCTGTTTGGCGAGTTGGCCTGCTTTTTTGGGCATGTCGTGCACTGTTGAATCTTCCGCGTTCTCCCGCGACTGCAATGTGGCCAATGGCGTGCCAAACGCATCAAGTGCTCCACACTCAACTGGCCCGTTGTTCTCGCCAACATCAACTGGGCATGAAGCACAGGCTTTACACCTTAAACAAACTGTTCAGACGGCAACCACTGGCGCGACACTCGGCCCAGTCCCGGCAAAGCGCGATCGAGCGACTGCCACAGGCCTGCAAAGAACAGCCTGGGCCATATCCAGGTGCCATTCTGGCCTTTTTGAACCATTTCATAGCCTCCTGGCTGTCGGCCGATGTATGGAACCCTGCTGCAAGGGCTTCCTTATCGGCGGTCCAGCTGAACGACTGGATGACAGAGGTATCACGCATGATACCAAAAAAAAGCCTCGGACTTTCTGGGCAGTGGAAAAACCTGGAAAAAAATTAAAATGCGATGAACTCTAATCCCTAGTTCGTGCCAAGCAGAGCGCAACCGCAAACGGATACGTCTATGATACTCGGAAAGCCTTCCTCGTCAGGGGAGTCTTAGACGAAGCGCTTTCCCAACCCGAGCAGTTCAAGGGTAAGACTGGCCCGTTCGAAAGCAGGTCAACTGCACATTCTCCTTATAACTAACTCCTAGAGTATTAACTAAAACAGTCCTTAAAAAAGTCAAGTTCCCCTGAACTTGCCATTCGGTCCAACAAAAGTGTTTCGGCTGGGTTCATCAGGTCTGATAATTCGTCATTAAACTTTGCACATCACTCCGTCGTCGTACCCCAAGCTTCAAAGTGGTGAGAGAAGAGTAACGGAGAGGGGAGGAATGAAATGGCGGTAAAAACTCTGAAAAAGGTCCACACAAAGGGAGAAATCCCCACGTGACCACCATATACTGTATGCTTTCCATCCCAACAGGCTAAAACTACCAATTTGTGCTACCCGGCAGCCTTCCGATTTCATGGGCGGGTGGCAAAGCCCGGGGCAGAAAGTAATTCGTCCAGGTGCGTCTCACCTAATTCCATCTGTTCCAAACCTGTGAACAGGTATAAATTCTCCCTGGTCTCCTACACTTTTGAGATGCATTATTCGTCTCATCTAATCTTCCGGTGAACCCGCCATGATGTGAATGTTTCGTGCCATCACATTCTTCTGAACTAAACTCGGTGTTTTCGTTTGAACTGATCAGTGTGTATTGGCGCGGGACAGGATCTGAGCGTGACTCCGAACTGCAATGGTATCTTGCGTGTTTTCTTTATCCATTTTCCGACCAGTCAGAGCCAACGAAGAAGCGCAGGCCGTTCAAGAAGTTTTTCTATCGTGGGGTTGACCTGGATCAACTCCTAGATATGAATATGTAAGTGTCTGGCGAACTGTTCGTAATCCGGATCTGCAGGGACCAGATTGGCGAACTAATGCCCGCCCGTATTCGCCGGCGTTTGAAGCGTGGACTTCGAAATAAACATAAGACACTTCTTAAGAAGCTTCGGAAAAGTAAAAAGGAGTGTCCTTTCGGGGAGAAGCCGGCGGTACGTGCATCCTTTCATGTCACCTAAGTCTCCAGACGGTGAAAACCCACCTTCGGAACATGGTTGTCCTTCCAGAGATGATTGGATCAGTAGTCGGTGTTTACAACGGCAAAACGTTCAACTCGGTCGAAATCCGGCCGGAGATGCTTGGGCACTATCTCGGCGAATTTTCGATTACTTACAAACCTGTAAAGCACGGGAAACCCGGTGTGGGAGCAACTCACAGCTCACGGTTTATTCCCCTGAAGTAAATCTTCAATAAATGATGGTTTGAGATAGTTTTCTTTTATCGTGGTTACCTCGGTTACCTGTTAAGTTTTCGGTTCCCAGGCCCTTGATACTATCCCATCAACCAAGCGGGTCAGTATTATTTCGTTGTACAACCAGGCCAATAGTTCAGAAGCTGAACAGTCACATAAGACCATAGTTGAAAATATTACCGGATAAAAGTGGGAAAAGCGAATTACAGGAAGCAAAGCCTGAAAGCAAGCATGCTGGGTGACACGGACAATGGATGTCCTATGATTTTGTTTAGCTGAAAATCTCATTGGTTCACAGTCCTGGGAGCATAAAATTGTTTTGACGATTTTGGAGGGTTCGCTGGTGTAATTTCTCTTTGTCATGTTAGCCGGGGAGTGCGGTGGTGTTTGGAACTATTCCACAGTCTATATTAAACGGTGATTGTGCCGGGCTCGAACGTTTTAGTCGCCCTAAATATTATCCCGGATTGACTTTCTTTGTTTTGTTCGCTGTGCTCGTCCCAATGTGAGACTGCGGGGTTGACTAGCAGACCTTCGGACTCAGCGTGGTCGGATGTTGGTTTTTCCGTATTAACCATGAAACTAACACGGCCATGGACGGAACTCTAAACGCTTCGTAACCGTTGTGAGTCCACATAATTGTTCTTAACCCGATGACCACCCTTCGTTCCTCTCATATTAAGTTCTGAACAAGTTCTTAAGTGTCTCCGACTGGAAAAGGGCCTACTTATTTGGGATGCAAATATGCGAATAGGTACAGTAGACGGGACGAATTCAAAATCGTTCAAAGAGAGAACCTCAGAAGGTATGGTAGGTGAGCAAACAAGGTGGTGAAACCATGGGCAGACAGCATCACACAATGATGCCAGGTGCATCTGGGCCAACCGATAAAAGGGGTGAGTGCGTTTGTGTAGCAGGAGCAGAAAGCTACCAGCCGAGGTAATCAACTTATGTGGGAACCGGACACCAATGCCGAGGGATAGATAGACGTAGCGATCAACTGATCGGGCGTTTCATTGTGTTCGAATTCCGATTGTTTATGAAGATGTCTATCGGCTTCACGGAAATGGTACTAGGACTTCGTCCTACCGACTTGCATTCTTCTAAAGCTGCAGTGTACGTCATGATCAGGAGTCAGAAACTTTCCCCCAATTAGTCCTGTGGACTGGAGCCCTAAGTTCCGACCTAAATCGTTTTTACCCGGAGGTATAAGTGCGCTGTGTGGGGAAGAATGAGTGGTCCCATTTTATGGAACGTATCTGGTTCCCTTCGAACATCACTAACCGTAACGGATTAGTTGTGTGCATGTTGAGCTGTGGGATGCTATCCCTCACCTAGACTTGGAGAACTGGAGATAACTCAGTGGTTAAGGTGCGATTGGTGATTGGAGTTTCCGTGGTTCGAACCCAACTTCGGCATCTCGACTGCTCCCGTTTGGGCTTGGGCAACCTGGCAATATCTCAGCCCTCATGCTCCCTTCGGGTGATATGGCAGCGAGGTACCGAAAGGTTGTTACAGCCGAACAATAGTAGCAAATACAAATGGAAGAAACTTAAACATTCAACCTTCGGAGATGTTCGAGACCATAGGGTTAACTATGTGTGCCACAAACACTAGGTCACCAACTCCGACTTAGAGCTGTCACTTTGTCGTGGTGGTCGGGCTTCTGTGCTGTAATGATCCTGCGGGCTATACTGGCTGAAACTCAGTTCCTAAAGCTTCAACAATCCCAGGAAGGCCAACGGGGAGGAGCCCGCCGAAGGACGCCGAGTCCCCGTACTGCGAGTAATCGTACTACGGGGTGGTCTGTAGGCGAAGACGTACTGTCCTCTGCGATATGAGTGAAGGCAGTAAGATGTTCCCCCAGGCGACCAGTATGTCCATATTTATGGAAGCTCCGAGAAAGACGGGTTAAAAAGGTCTTCCCCCAAAATGGCGCACTCCGACCGCTCAACGTGTGACCGTGATCGCCGGCGAATTATTCAATACGGTCGAAATACATTTAAAATCAAAGAGCCCGGTGCTGTTCAGAAGGCATCTGCTGTGCGCAGCCGCATCAGAAGTGCGACAGTGATATCCTACTTTCTGCGTCTTCGGGCCAGACCGGCCTTCCACATCCAAGCGGGTCAGACTATTGAGTCTCTGGCTCCGGGAAGGGTCCCCCAAGAAAACCCTATCAACCGCTGTCTCGCGATCCAGACTTTAGTTAGAGGCTAGGGGCAGGGTCCCCCGGACCTCCTTCCACTGCCCTGTGGGTCAGACTTTTGAGTCAAAAGCTCAAGGTGGGGCACCTCAAATAAGCCCCCTTCGGCCTGGGTAACCAAGACGTGTCATTCGCCTTTGCAGCTCTCCGTTCACTGGTCTTCCATAATTCCTTCCCAACCCATCGTACAGTGCAGTGCAATCAACCCATCTGCCAACCACCTAGCCACTGTTTCGCGTCTCAACCATCACCCAACAAAATAAACCAAAATAATCACCTATTAACCTCTAAAGATCTGATTCACGTTGCATCCTACAATGTTGGTACTCTGTCAAATTGGGCAAGACATCTCTTGCTGAAACCTTATTTTCTCTCTTTATCGATGTATTTTGTGTCTCTGAAACACGCATACAAGACCCCACTCCAGTCGTGCTCCTCAAGACGCTTAGGACAAGCCCAGATGTTCCACCATTCACTCTTTGGGCATTCGGTGATCCTGATGCAATGGCCCGAGGTGTCTACGGTGTGGTGGTTGCACTCAGCCCCAAGGCTGAAAGCGCCTTACTGGACTGGATCCCAGTACACAGTAGTCTTTGCACGGTGAACGGTTGTCTGGCTCAATTAAGGATAACGCAGGTCGATGTGGTAAATGGTGTTTGGTTGTCGTATCAGCATACGTCCTAACAGATAGCAGTTCTGAGACTGAGAAGGGCGAGTTTTATCAAGATCTGTCACTATTGCTACGGTCGGCACGAAGGATAGATATAGCAATCCTGGCCCTTGATATGAATGCCCAAGTTGGACGACTAAGTCCGGAAGAAGCACAATTAGGTGGTACGGATAATGGAGAGCAGCATCTTCAGTTGTGTACAGATCATCGTCTTTTCTTGGCCCGTACTAATTACCAACACAAACGCACACAAGTAACCGAGTTACTTGGAGACCACCAACCACAGTCGTAGACCCCATTGGACCATATGGTTATCAGTTACCGATGGAGATCCTCGATTAAGGATTGTCTCCTGGGGTACGCAACTTGACTCCGATCACGCCATCGTGTAGGCCCGCTTGCACTTGGCTTTCCGCCAGCACTACGCGTGCCGAAAGAGAGCAGCTCCGTTCATCAACTTCGTCAAGTTTCGGTAGCTGAAGAGTATCGAGCTGATCTGGCTGGAAAGCTACGAAAAAGACAGTCATGTAGACGACGAAGATTGGAGGATGAATGGAGGCGAATTAAAGGAACTATGCTCCCAGCTCTCAGGACTGTTTGTCCAACCCATCTGACTCGACTAAATGAACGCTGGATATCTTCGAGATCAACAGATCTTATTTCTGACAAAAAGGCCACGCCAACAACTAGCGACTACGTAGGCGCACGCAGATTCCAACACCGAACAATTAAGAGCTTGAAGAATGGCAGATAACGCTGGTAGATTTTTAAGACTCAGAAGCTGGAGAAGGCCTCCACTGCAGGCAACAGCAGTGCACTGTTTCAACTGATTCGATCAACGGGTCAAAAGAAGGCGGATATCAGTGAGACAACATGCGAAAAAGACGGAACTACAATTCACTCAATCGCCGTCTTGAGTGGTGGGCTGAGCACTTCCAAGAGCATTTCACTTGGTCTCCTTCAACACAATCTCTGGAAGAACCAAGCGTGGAACATTGACACCAACCCACCATCAGCAACCGAAATCTAGCGTAAGATTTCAATCCTGAAGCGCGACAAGACACCTGGCCCAGATGGTGTACACCCCGCGCTCCTCGAAGAAGATGAACAGTCTGACAATCATACTGCAGAAGATTTGGAATGAAAGCAATACCAGCCGAACGGAGCTAGTCGACCGTCATCCCAGTTTTCAAAAAGGGAAGACCATCGTGGTATCAGGCTGGTATCTATCGCTTCTGAAGTGCTCTCTGGCATCGGATGTATTATCAGGAGAGATAGATTCGTGAAAATCAAGCTGAGTTTCGCCCTGGTCGAGGATGCATCGACCATATCTTTACTTTGAGACAAATTCCCGAACAGCGCCACGCCTTCACACGTCCCACGTTGGTCGTTTTTCTAGATTTGAAAGCTGCTTTTGAATCTGTCGATCGTCAGCAACTTTGGCAGCGGCTGGCGACCAAGCATGTCCCTTCCGAATTTTCTTCCTTTTAGGGCACTGTATGCGAACTCATGTGGACGCGTACGCATATACGGGAAGCTTTTGTCCGAGTTCACCACGTCCAGCGGTGTAAGACAAGACTGTCCTCTTTAACTTTCCTCTTTAACTCTAACTCTTTCCTCTTTAACTGTGTTATTGATATGCTGCTTGAAATTTTTCTGCCTGTCTCTGAAACCTCGGGAATCGAAATGTCTCCGGGACGTTCCCTCACAGACATTGAGTATGCAGACGATATTGCTCCTTGGTTCAGGTCCCTCAAAAATGCAAACTGCTTTAAATAACCTAAATAACTCTGCCGCACGGTTTGGCATGCGCTTCACACCTGCACAGTGTAAGGTGGGACTAAAACCACACATGATGCTTGCAGGTGAGCCAATCGACGTGGTAGGTGAAGTTGCTCACCTGGGCACTGTATAGGTTCCGGATGACTGACGAGATGAGATTATTTCTCGGATCGGAAAGGTCAGGTCAGCTTTTGCCAACCTCCGACACCTAGGGTGCCGACGTGACGTGAGTTTGTCTGTCAAGGGAAGAGTTTACACTGCGGTGGTGCGATCCATAGTGCTTTATGGGCCAGAGACGTAGTCTCTACACACAGAAGACATACGGAAATGGCAGTGTTTCACCATCGGTTTCTCCGAAGCCTTGGTCGAGTTTGGTGGGAACATCAGATAAACAATGCTGAGGTACACCAGATGGTCTTGGGAAGAAGGAACTCTTCCGCGATAGATAAATTACTCACGCTTTATAGGTTGCGGTGGTTGGAACATGTACTCCGCGTGCCGCCTGCCTCACAGTCTTTTCTCCCAGCTGAGTGGAAGCGATGGTTAGGTGGACAGTATATGACCTGGCAATGAAGTACGAGAACGCTAACCAGTAAAATTGGTTGGGTGGGCAACTGCCGCCTCCCTGGATGAGGACCCGGGTACTCAAATCACCAGTGGTTAATGACAGTGGGGGCAATGGCGCTGTAGGTGACGCTCGTGGATCAAACTATCGCCTTCAATGCGTAGCTACCCAATTTCCGTACAAACTGAACATGCCTTCGCCTCCAAGGCTTGGTTGTATATTCCACTTTCCCGTTTTCCGGTGATCGAAGCTATAGCAGCTGGAACTAATATGCCCCTACCATAAGGTTTATTGCTGATAAATTGAATTGAATTAAATCGACCAGCATTTCACACGGTATTCGTACGTAGGACGTACGGATCGCTGGTTTTCCAAGCTTTTGGGTCGTTCGCAACTAGTAAACAGCTGACCAAGTTGTAGGCTGAGTTTTCGGGGATGACATTTCCAATGCCTGTGACAGACGTGGTCCTGTCCCGACGGAACGAACGATTTTACGAAAGTTTTCTTGGTTGCTGAATTTTCGCCTAGTCAGTGATTTCAAATTTCTGGATGTGAAATGTGTGGGCAACGACCAAATACTTTTGCAACACCGGAGATTAGTGCACCCTACCTAAAGGTTCCACCTAGTGTGGTGGTCGGGCTTGAGTGCTGCAATCAATCCGTGGGCTACACTGATTAGAACTACTACCCACAAGGTGAAGCCATACCAGGAGGGCCAAACGGGACCAGTCGGGTCGAGACCAGCGAGACCTCATAGTACGAGTAATCGTGTTACGAGACGGTTTGGGTTAAAGTCGTTCTGTAGGAGCGTGAAGGCAGTAAGGTATCTCCCACAGGCGCAGTTACTTACGTCACCTCCCCAAATCATTGGTGAAAGAAACTATGGCAGCTCCAGCCATTGTACGATAAGTACACGGTTCTTGCAGCTGAAAATCATGATGGTGTAAAACTGAGCCTCCTTTTTTCAAACTGTCTCGTTGCGGGTTAGTTTTTAACAGCCTGCGTAGCCTGAGGCTGCGTTCTGAGGCAACGGTTGTCAAAGACCGAAAGATCTTATTTCGGTTGTGCGCTGAGATCACGCTTCACAACAACAACCCGTCCTATAGCCTGCTGCTTTGCTAGTACGAGTGCCTCAGAAATTAGAATACTCCACCCGAATCCTAAAAATTCATTTATTAACCTTATCTATCACACTGCCAGTGGAACATAAGTTTCAGGGCATATAAAAAGCTCCACACTCTTGAATACTTTAAGTGTGCATTCCATGATGATATCTATAACAAAACTAAGCAGTGAGCGTGAGGTCAACCTTACCAAACCCAATAATTGCGAAGAAAAATTCTGCTCACGTTGCTTAGGCGTTGGAGCAACGCGATATGAACAGACGGCTCGCAGTCTTTGTATTCCTTGAATTTAAGGATGCTTTGAAATCTGTCGATGTCAGTGTCGTCAACCACACTTGCTCAATAGGCTATGCCGCGGAAGTCTGTGAGCATAATCAGGTCATATACTTTAAGCGTGTGAGAGTATGGTGAGCTATCCAAAGGCTTCAACGCAAAATCTGTCCGACAAGGCCGTCCACTCTCTCCGTCCTTGTTCAACTTCGTTCTTAAAGAAAATTTTCGAAGTTTATCCTTCAGTTTAATAGGCAGTCGGAAAATCGACTCGATCTTGAGCAACAGGTGGTCAGCGAAGCCAAAAGCAATCACTTAGTTGGTCGTACCGACATCATAGGCTTCATTGTTTGTATTAACAATCGTTCAGCTGTAGCACCCTTTCGGTGCCTAGCTGCCATGTCACACAAAGGAGACACGAGGGCTGGGATACTGCCAGGTCGCCCAAGCCTAGACAAGGGAAGTGAAGAGGCAGAGGTCGGGTTCGAACCATGGACCTTCCGATGAGTAAATTCGCGCCCTAACAGCTGAGCATGACATGCCGTTCGGCTGTCTTCGAGTTGGTACCACCCTAAGTAGATTTCGGTGTAGTTTTTGGAGTCAATTGTTAGGGAAAATCCAGAACTGCCCGGTAGCAAACCGTTAGTTTACATTCTTGTTGGTTAGTTGGTATTCTAATTCCGTGTTTTCTGAGTAGATAAGAATAAGTAAAGTTGCACCAACTTAAAAACCCATGCGGCTCTGTTTCGTGGACTTGAGTACTCAGGAAAAATAATTATTTATAGGTTGTATTGCTCTGACCACAGTCAGTGGACAGGGAAGAAGTATGTGATATATGTGTGCCTGACTGCTTTCGCTGCTTAGTTGTACTCAGACCATCGCACCAAGCTGCCTTGGTCAGCTTTGGGGCTTAGCAGAGTTTGTAAGAACAGTGGTCATCTCTGACATCAAAGATTCAGCTAAACACTATTTCACATTTCCCAGAATTTAGAGTCCCCCCAAAAGATGAGATTGGGAGCCTTCGAAATACCAATGGATTGTGTCGAACAGCTTCTTAGCAGTTCATACCTTACTAAAGGGATCTTGCCACCATCATACATCATCAGCGTTGACTACGACCTTCCCATTAGGAGAACAATCAGTGAAGCAAGTTAGTAGTTAATGCGATTTAAGGGGGACATCAGTGTTCTGTTCCATTCTCGCGGAATGTGCTTGCGAAGCTTTTCACCTATAAACTATGAATAGGACTGTCTCCGTTAGGTTTGCCCAAGAACATCGCAAGCGTGGAATTCACCTGAGTTCTAGGTGAGTCTCCCGTCAAAACCAAATCGGTTTGCAAATCAGTGTATAACTCGAATTTCGGGCAATTCGGGTCTGAGTAGAGCATAAGGTTGACGGGAACTAAGGATCTGCGTCTACATGACGAGCGTCAAGCTGGAAGAAACCGGCCCTGGGCTGTCGAGGATTTTCAGCAACCTTATGAGTCTATAAAATGATATTCCTCACACATCATAAACGAGGGATTCAGCTGGGTTCCAGGCGAGTTTCTCAAAAACCAAATTAGTTTGCAAATGAGTTTATTTCGCTGATATTCCTTTTCTTTTGGATAGTCTGGCACAGTTGTGACCCGCTGTGACACTGGAAAAGTTAAGTGGACTCGGTTACTCTAGAGAATTGGTTGTGTGGTAAAGCCAAATTAGTAATGAGTTTATTTCGCTGATATTCCTTTTCTTTTGGATAGTCTGGCACAGTTGTGACCCGCTGTGACACTGGAAAAGTTAAGTGGACTCGGTTACTCTAGAGAATTGGTTGTGTGGTAAAGAGAGCAATGGTTTATTACTAAAATAAATCTGCGCAGGCACCTGGTATTCAGAAGCATGTTGTATTGTATTGTGCGGGAGCTCCGTCAAAGTGAAGAGTTAAGAGGTTAGTCTCTTGCATATACGCAATGCACTGCTCATAAGGTTGCTGAAAATTCTTCGATGACCCACGACCAGCTTCGTCCTCTTTGGGGCTCATCGGGTAAGCACAGTCCCCGGATTTTCGCCAACCTTATGTTCTATTCGAAATCAAATTGCAAGAAATGAGCGAAATACACTCATTTGCACACAAATTTGGTTTTACGAGAGATTCACCTGGAATCCAACAGAATCTCTCGTTTGTGATATTTCCAGGCAACTGAATGTGCTGCATCAGGTCGCTCCATGTTTCAGTTGATACGGTATTCGAGGTATCGCGATACGTGTATACGTAATGCACTACTCATAAGGTTTCTGAGAATTCTTTGAC